CCAGCCCCGCCGACGGGTACACAAGGTGAGCCCTCAGCAATCCCACGGTTATCGGAGTACCCCCTCCGTTAGTCGCAGTCCAGGGCACTGTGTGTCAGAGTGGATCGCAACGTGCTTTTGCGACCCCCACTCCACCACACTTTCTTCTTCTTGAGCCGACGCAGGAATTGACGCACAAACGGGTCTCGAGCAGGATTTCCGTATCCGCGGTTTTCTCCAGACTCGTCCTCGCGTATACTCCACGTGTTGACATTGGTTCCGTTGCTGTTTTGGTGAGAAGAATAGTAGCTGGCGACCGCAGATCTCGCCTTCTCAGCTGTTTGCAGTGAAATGGAACTGGAAGCCGAGATACTCTGCAAATATGCTATCAAAACGACGGGTAGTTTGTAGTGGCACTCGTGACGTGGGTCGGGGTAGCCGTTAGTGATGCAAAAATCGGAAAACTTCTTAAAACTGGCCTTGTAGACAGTCTGCGTAGCCTTCTTGATCACCTCGTTGGCCGTATGCTGACCATTTTTTAGCCAACTGATGAATCCCCAGCTCTCTCAGAGACGTCAGATTGAGAACTGACCACGTGTTGCATCCACGGGCCACGACTGAACCGTCGTACCTTTTTGTATGACTAGTACATTTTAGTATGAACGCGTACTTTTCCGTATGACTCGTACTTTTCAGTATGAATCTTCACTCTCCTATAAATACCCACGACAAAAAGTTTTAAAGTAAAAATCTTGTGAAAAAAATGTGTCAAAAAGTCGTGATGCAAATAACACCAAACAACCTCACAATGTTGTTCGAGCACAAGGAGGTTACTTCTAAATTACGCCAATACAAATTCCTAATACAGAGTTGGTGCTTCCTCGTACCGAAACAACGTCTGGGGGCACGAAAAAATTTGTTTTATAGGGCTAGGTGTAATTCAATACAAATAGATAGATAAGTGACTGTACGGGCTACTATTCGGATGTTGTTTCAGGAAGAGTAAGCTCTACTTCGTTCCGAAGCACTATTTAACCCGTATAAAAAAATCTTTTTGTGTAAACAACACTTCTCCGTGGTCGTACTTACTGCATGACCGGCCCCCCAACCAGAGCACAAAATACAAACGAGCGAGGGAAGCGACGGACGGGAGACGTCGAGATGGAGGGTAAGGCAGCGCTGGACGACGCCACGGAGCGCAAGAAGGCGCTGCTGGTATACAAGAGTAACCTCCAGTCGGCCTCCGACGACGACGACGATGCCTCAGACGAGGAAGAGGACGTGCCGGGTGTTAAGAGCGACGTGAGGGTTCCACCACCGCCAGCCAGAGTCGAGGACATGGAGGCACCCCGAGGTCTAACGAAACAGAATGTAGCCTTGGGTGAAGAGGACGACGAAGCGGATGCGTATGAGGAGGAGGAAGGCGGTGTACAGGTAGAGAAGGACGATGACGAGTCACTCAACGCGCCATCTGACGACGACTTGGACAGCACTGCGACACCGAGACGCTCCGAGACCGACGAAGACGATGACGAGTCGCCTAAGAGAGCAGAATCCCTTAACGCATCAACCCCAGCTCTAGAGGAGAGGAACAATATGAAGAATATGCCAGCGCACAGCGAGACGGACTCGGCATCGGAAGCAGCTGCGAACCGTGCGCCATCGCCCAGTCCCAGCAATGCTAGTGCCCAGCACGTGGACGACTCGACGACATTGACGCTCAAATCAGGCACCTCCAATGTGGGAGCGATCATCGCAGCTCGCCGTCGCACTGTGGCTCGCAAAGAGTGCGAGGCATGTCATGAACCGCGCAATGGGCGACGGGCGCTGCTGTGTCAGCAGTGCAAGTGCATGTACCACACGAGCTGCTTCCGTCAGCAGTTCCCCAAACTAGTGCCGGCCGCCAATCGCCAGTGGTATTGTCCAGACTGCGAGCCAGCCGTCAAGACCGCTTCGACTGAGAAACCTCCTGCTAACACGCCCCGCAAGCAGCACCGCAGCGATTTTTCTGCCAAAGGCCGAGCTAGTCGTGGTTCCAAGTCTTCTTCCTCTACAAACCGAGGCAAGGGTGAAATTGATGACAAGGCCGGGGTAGCAGGAGATGTAACTGGTACTGCTGCTGAGACGGAGGTACAGCGCTTGACGGATCTAGCTTTGCGCGGCGGGAAGAACATCAACTCTACGATACTGGAGCAGACAGGGGAGATGTTACATATCACGCAGACTCTAACGAAGGAGATCAACAGCGTCATGGGCCCGAATTGGCTTGAATATTCCAATGGCGCTGGAAATGGCAGTATTCACGGTGCTAGCACTGGCAATAACGACGTCAAACGTGAACAGCAACATCAACAACAGGTCGAATCTCCGCCCCCACCTCCGTTCCTGTTGGTTCCTGCATCATCAGCACACGCGTCTTCCGCTGCTTCTTCGCAGATTGTTGCAACAAACGATGCAAGTGCCAGTAACGGGAACAATGCCGGAATCTCAGAGAAAGATGTACTTCTGCGTCGAGTGCACAATGGCTTGGATTCCTTGAAGCAGCTGCTGGAGCAGCTACAAGTTGCAGGCATCCAGTTCGAGGTTGACTTTATTAGGGAGGCTAAAGCAACTCCCAACCAAGATCGCAAGTCTACATCGGCCAGTGGAGCCAGAAAGCAGGCGACAGGAACGGCCGGTCGATCTGCATCGGGCTCGAAAGGAAAGAGTGGCGCAAGTCGCTTGTATTCATCGAAGCAGATTCAGAAGCTGGAGGAATGGTACCAGCGATCCTCTCGACCCGAGTCTAGCGAGATCCACTCGATGTACCGCATCATCAATTGTCCAGACTATGCGGATCCAGAGTTGCAACCGGAAGGCATTTCAGTGAAGCAGATCCGCATCTGGTTTGACAACAGGCGTGCGAAGGAACGTCTGGACTACATGCGCCTCAAGATGAAGGACATTTCTACTACTGACATGGATGCTGACAGTGTCAAGAAGATGAAGGCTGCGTACATCGACGAAGCCAAGGAAGTGCTTGAGGCGCGAGTGTCACGGATGCGCGAGAATGGACAGGGCTCTGGCCATGTCGTTGATGAAGCGGATATGGCTTTGATTGCAAACACTGCAGACCAACCCATGCACGGCAGAGCGCCTAAAGCAATTCCATGTGGAGGATCGATGAGAGATGGGGTTGATAGACCTCCTACTTCTGGATCGAGCGTCCAGAAAAAGCGAATTCGAATCGATCATGTTGCTTCCGTGAGGAAGGCACTTAGGGACGCTCGTGACGCTGGCAAGAGCGAAGAGGAAACCAAAGCGTTACGTCTTGCTGCGATCGAACGTGCTCGAGAGAGGTTGCATGTTCCTTATAAGAATGCTCGCACTGGAGCGTCCAAACCGCTTGGAAAAGAGGAAGTCTCACACATCAAGATGAAGATGCTGAAGATGCTAGAGGAAGACGCATCTGCTGAGGAACTCACGGACATCATCGAGTTGTTGCTGTCTCTTATTATCCCGCGCGCCGTGCTGATTGAGTCAGGAATACAGCGGCAGTTGGAATTGGTTCTGATTGCTCACAAGGATAACAAGGAGCTTGTGCGACAGACGAAGAAGCTGCAAGACGAGTTTCAATGGATTGTGGAGAACGGAGATGCCCCGAGTGTGGTGGCTGCGATGGCTGGGGAGGCCAGTACTAACAAGAAGCGGAAGGAGAAACCACGGTCGCTACTGCTGAGTGTGGATACCGAATCTTTGCCTGGAACACCCGGATCGTCGCCGAGTTCAGGCCCGACACCTTCACCAGAGTCGCGGCGACCGCGTGTTAAGTTCTCCCTGGCTCAGCTGGTGAAGCTTGAGAAGTACTTTCACAAGGAAGACACTCCGAGCAAGAAGAAATTGGACAAAATTGCGGCGCGTTTGAATGCAATCGCGTCTTCGGACCCGTCGAGCGATGCGGCGCAGAGATCTATCGACTACAAGCAGATTCGCTGCTGGTTCTACAAGCGACGGTCTGCAAATCAACCGCCTCAAGCCTTGAGTGGTGCGGATCTGCATATTGATGACGCCGCCTCGAGCTCGTCTAGCTCCAGTGATACAGAGTCGGACAACGATACTAAATCGGAAAAAGGCTCCAAGTCCCGCGCCAAGTCGAAGTCAAAGACATTGGCCATTGCTCCTGGTGGGTCTGGTGCGAAGCGTAAAGCTGCTGTGAGTGACGATAAAAGTAACGCTAAGCGTTCTAAAACGGAGACTCCTAACGTCCATACTGCAGCTACAGAGACGACAGAAACAGTCAGTAGAAGCGACGAAGACTCCGCCGGAAGTGCACAAGCAGGACGGATCTTCAACGTGAAGCAGCTCGCAACAATAATCGAAGAGTACGAAAAGAACCCACGGCCGACTGTGGCTCGACTGGAGGAGTTGCTGAAGGTGCTGAACCAAGATGATCATACGGACGAGTACTCTGGGAATGCACTTGGAGTGACGAAGCAGCAGATCAAGACGTGGTTCTCTAACCGCCGCGCAAAGGAGCGTCTTGACCTTATTAAGATGAAGATCAAGGAGACGCGTGCAGGCCTCCAGGGGAGCAGTGAGTCGGACTCGGACGATGATGAACTCGAAGAAACGGAATCGATGCCTACAATTGCGCTTCCAGCCACCTCTGGTGAAAGGCGAACAGTAGTTGACGAGGCAGAGGATATGAAAGTTGATGCATGAATAGGTCGGTCAACCATGCTCAGTTCTGAGGCTCTAATGTGCTTTTTACCCCCTTTTCTATGGATAATCCATTGTCTAGTTCAGTTGGGGCCGACGTAGTTCATCGATGGCCACTGGCAATTTGACTGTGTCAATGAGCTTGACCATGCGGTAGGAGGATTCGACTGAAGTGATGCACTGCTTCAACGTCTTGCACAGGACGGGGTCATCCAGTGAATCGAGTTGGCGTAGCAAAGGATAAAGACCTCCATACTCAATGAGCAACTGCACCGCTTTCTCGTCGGTCAAGTTACTCACTCTAGGAAGCCTCTTCCAGTGGTGACCACACAGCGCATGGAAGTCGGGCAGCAACTTGGGGTGCAAGCCAAAAAATCTTCCACGCAAGTTTCGCTCGCGGATATATCGACGTCTGGATGGTTGGTAGATCTCCACAACGGCAGGAGCCAGGTCGATGCTGTCGGATACACTACTGTCTGTGGCTTCTGCGTCAGTTTCTACGTTGACGCCATCATGAACGAGCTGCAAGAAGTCATTGTCGTTGGAAATGAGCAGTACGTCGAAGCCAGCAGTCGTATACTGCGTCGAGTATGAGGCAATGATATCGTCCGCCTCCATCCCCGGGCGCTCGATGCAGTTCACGTTGGCCTTGCTGAAAACTTCTTTAGCGTATGCAAACTGCGGCACTAGTGACTGTGGTGTCGGCGCTCGGTCCGTCTTGTAGTCTGGCTGGATGATTCGTCTGGTGGTGGGGCGCTGTCTCGAGTCGAACACGACGGAAATGTGTTCAGGCTGGTGCGTCTTGTCCATCCGCCGTAGAAGTCGCAGAAGACCATCCACCGCGCCAGTCTGGATTCCGTCACTGTACAACCAAAGCACACAAAGGCGTTAGTCAGGGATGGCATTAAGTAGGCAAAATGGTGCCATCACCACGCACTGCTCGACGGTGGACAGCGGATCGTAGAAATGATAGAGCGCGTTGTTGCCGTCCACCAACAGACTCTTCTTCCGACAGATTGGTGCCTCCTCCAGCACTGCTGCAGCCGTAGCTAGCGAGCGTCGCCTACTGTTCACACAGGCGCCAGCAATTCCTCGCTGTAGCTGCACGCCTCTCATTGTTGACTGGAAGTTGTGCTTGTCATTGCTGTCAGATGGTCCCCTCCAATAACAACCTTTGCACCTAATCAGGTCTTTATTGCAAGGTAATAAATAAAGAATAGTTGTTCGAAAGCTCTTCACTTTACCATGGCGGAAAAGGAAGCGTTCTTGCCGGTAGCGCGGCAGTCGCCCGGCGCCACATCGAGCCGCATCTGCTCGGCCGTGACGTTCTTCCCCTTCTACGCAGCGCAGAGACTGCTGTCGTGTCTGGGCTACACGCACTCTATCCGTATGCAGAGCGGCCGAACGTACGCGAGTTTCCAGTTCTGTCGATGTCGGTATTTGTTATTGATTGACCTGTTGTGCTCTGTAGGGTGATAGTCAGCTCAGAGATTGCGCAGGGAGGCTTCTCTTTCGTCTATAAGGCCAGAGACACCGACACGGGCGAGGCTTTCGCTCTCAAGAAGATTCTATGTCAGACGAACGAGCAGGTGCAACTAGCCAAAGCGGAGATTCAAGCGCACAAGGCTTTTGCGCACCCGAACATCATGCCACTCTGTGACTACGCCGTGGTATCCACTGGTGTAGAGATGTTCGAATATTACCTACTGTTTCCGTTCATGGAGGTGCTTCAGCTTTTGGTATATTTTTTACTAGCTTATGGAGTTGGGACTAACTTCTCGGTTGTGGACAGAATGGAACGCTGCGTGATATGATTAACACTGCAATCAGGTATTAACTAGCTGTGAGTTGTTATGTGTGTGTTGCTTCTTTGCTAACAGTTTCCGGGTTAATGCGAGGGCAGCCAAGACGTCCGGATTCCTGAGGCGCAGATTCTGGACATGTTTCTCCAGATTTGTCGGGCTGTAGCAGAGCTACACTCCAAGTCGCCGCCGCTCGCACATCGTGATATTAAGGTAATGAATAGCTGTGTTACTGGATACTTGTGCTATTGGGTTTCTTACTGATGGTTTATTCGTTGCAGCCGGAGAATGTCATGCTGTCCGACGAGGGCGAGCCGCTGCTAACGGACTTCGGCTCCGTCACCAATGCTGACGTCACTATCTCTAAGCGCTCCGACGCACTATTACTACAAGAGCACGCTGCACAGCAGAGCTCGATGGCGTATCGCGCACCAGGTACGGAAGCAGAGCTTACTCGTTGACGTTACTCCTGCTGGACTCATGTTGTTTCATCTTTCCCAGAGCTCTACGATGTGCCGGATAATACGCACATTTCCAGCGCCACTGATGTGTGGTCGCTAGGCTGTCTGCTGTACGCAATGGCGTTCGGGTACTCGCCGTTCGAGTGCTCCTTCTACGACTCGGGCGTCGTTCGCGTGGTGGAGTGCACATACCTGGCGGTGATTGGACCTATCAAGTTCCCGAAGAACTGCTCGTACTCCTCCAAGTTCTGTGAGATGATTCGGTGAGTAGGTATCTGCGGTATGTCTGGGTTTACATGTGGCTTATGACAACGTTGTCATGGTTGTGCAAACTGCAGGTGGATCCTGAATCAAGACGCAACCGCCCGACCAACAGTGTTCAATGTGATTGAGCGGCTGCATAACCTTAACGAGTAAATGTAATGGTGAAAACGAGCCGCGTAGCCCGTACGAATGCAATACCTTGCGTTGTTCTTCAAAGTCACTAGCACGATGTAGCTTTAATGACAAGTAAACGGTGGCGGGAGACTGGTGCCATAGGTATGAAGCTGGCTAACCACATTTTCAAGTCAAGCAGCATCGCCAGATGCAGTAGTTCTGAACGACGATACAGCAGAAATAAAGCACTGTGCACCACGCTAGATGTCTTCCGTTGGATAAGTCATGAATCCGGTGGAATTTCCATCGTTGTTTTTTCGCGCAGATAAACAAATCAAACTTTTGGACACAAAGTTCGTCGTGGATTGGTTGTGCATTGCAATATTTCGTGAGTAGCACGTCGAGGATTGGCTGAGTATCACAATATTTACATGAGTAACGAAAGAGATTGTGAAGCCAGTTGAGCAAGTGCAAGCAAGGCCTCCAGAGTCGAGTAGTCATCGGTCGAATCGCTCGGCATCACCAGAGGCAGGGGGAGAGCAACCGCAGAAAAATAAGCACAATGGCGATGGGAAAGTCGAAGTCCAAGAGCAGCGGCAAGCTGTCGGATAAGGACATGGAGCAGCACCGTGAGTACATGAAGAAGTACAAAATGCAGTCGAGCGACCTGGACAAGCACGAGGTGCACTACAAGGACCACTACGAGCTGCTGGGGATCTCTCGCGACGCGTCACACACGGAGGTGCGTCAGCAGCAGAGGGTAGATAGGAGAAATTGTGCGGAACTAACGGAGACCCCCTCGCTGCTATTGTTGTTTTAGATCCGGAAGGCTTACAGAAAGTTGGCACTCAAGTGCCACCCAGACAGGAAACCGTCGCCCGAGGCACTGGCGCGGTGGGAGGGTGTGCCGGCGGCGTACGCGGTGCTATCGAACCCAAACGACCGCGCCGAATATGACGCCACCTTACCAACGCGCGATGCGCTAGTAGAGTTCTACCGTGCCTACAACCCGGCCAAATTGGACAACGCCACCATCGACACCATCATCGACGGCTGGTACGGCCGCGAAGTTGAGCTCTTTGAGATGCTCAACGCCAAGTATGAGGTGGCGCCGCATCAGGGCACCACGAAGGCCGCTCAGCGCGCTGCTGCGATGTCGGTATCACGGGAGAAGGCGCACAAGATCGCGATGGACAACCAGACGTACAAGTCGAAAGACGCCGCGAATGCTGAGATCACATGGACGGGGGCTATTGGATCGGCCTTCTGCTGTAAGAGCGTGCTCTCACGCTGGTTCAGCACCACTTACTACGAGGTGGACACGACCAGTCCAGGATTCCTGGGGTCGCACGGCGCCTCGGATACACCCGGCCAGGCCATGCCCATGAATCTACAGTCCCCGGCTACACCCTCGCAGCTATCGCAACCTGTGAGTCCGGAGTTCGAGCCGCCTGTTGATGCAGACAACTCGTCCACAGCTACGACTGCTGACGGATCGCCACCCAGCGGAGACGAAAGCTGCGCAAGGTCAAGGAACGACTACAGAGCTTCGCCGCCAGGCCCACGAGCCTCGCAAACGAACGTCGCAGCGGCTAGCTAAGTGTTTAAAGCCCGTGAGGTTTGGATGTGGTGCAGATTGTTGCCATTTTACATGCTTCACATCCGTACTGGTGTCAGGAGTAGATGCCGAATAAATTATCAATGTCTTCCAAGTAGTAGTATAATGCCTACGCTGCAGCGTGCTTCTTGCTAACTGACGTGACTGGTAGTAGAAGTTGGTGGAGTGTCGTTGTCACACAGGCCGACTTACGAAAAGTCTGCCAGCGGCTCCGTGGAAAGTGAAAGTGACCAAGAGATCGCGCCCTTGCTCCAGTCAAGCTCAGCTTCCTTCATCCAGTCGTTCATCCAGTTGCTCTTCTTCAGGATCTCCTGAGCGCAGGGCTTGAGTGTGGCATCTCCATCTGACAGCTCCTCTTGCGACAGGTCTGTCAGAGTCAAATCCACGAAGGCGGACGGGTCATTCCACTCGTCAGCACTTAGAGGCGAGGGGGACTGGTCCATGGTCGAAGCGAATCCAAGCATCAAGCTGACTCCATCCTTCATGGACGGCGCGCTGTTGTCCTCCTTCGCGGTCGCAGTCAACTTCGTATTGTCCTCGACTTTCACGACGGGAACGCGCGTTATGAGGCTGGAGACTGGGGGAAGTACGACTTGTTCGGGGGTTGCATCATCGTCGGATCTCTGATTAGTCTCTGAGGCTGGACGCGGAGCGATGACGCTCTTAGTGGAGGGACAGGCGTCACTTGCCGAGACGCTGGTGAATTCGACCTTTTGTCCGATTTTCTTGGCAAACTTGCAGAATTCACGGGTCCAGTAGTCCGCCTCAGCAGCTTTGAGCTCCTGGATGTTGAGGTTGGGCCCGAACTTGCAGCGGTACTGGACGTGCCAATAGTAGTGGTTGCGTAGGTTCGAGAGCTGCTTCTGGAGCTTCACGTGCAGATTGTAGCAGTAGTTCTTCTCGCGTTGGTAGAAGAAATTCTGCTTGCCGATAGCCTGGCCCGTGTATTTCTTGGTCACGCGCAGCGGGTCGCACTGCAGCATGTTGGCCATGAACACGCGCAGGTGCAGCCCATCCGCGAGCGGCAGCGCACCCAGCTTGAACTGTTTCATCAGCAGGTTGGCGTATTTGTGCTCATCGATACTCCACTTGCCCTTACGCGCACTCGTGTTCGACCGGTTCTTGCTTTCACGGAACACGAGTACGTTGCTCACGGGCTCGTTGCACACCTCGCAGTGTGTCGCTGGCCATGCGAAGATGCAGCGAGGGTGGAAGCGATGTCCGCATCCGTCCAGCTCCAGAATCGCGCCACAGGACTTGCAAGCCTCGCAGCGCGTCGAGTTGTCGCCTTCCGGGGTGGCAGGAGCGGCAGCGTCGTGGTCCATTGCAGCGCCTCTGAAATTGTAGAGTGGAGCTCTTTACGCAGTGCATTGAACCAAAAAGTGTATCGTCTGCAACAATGAGAACGTTCTCTAAATGGAGGATTCTGATTGGATAACGATTGCCAACCGTCCCGTAGGGAACGTGGCGGAGCAGCTCTCTCCATACCGTCCACAGTGTCCACGGGGCCCCCAGAAAGAAGACCAGCACCTCGAACGCCTGCTCGTATTGGCGGAGTGCTTGGTGGTTTGGTTTTAGGTGGTCTGGTACGCCCTGCGGATCCGGACAGTAGCTGCGGAAAGCGTCCCGTTGCCGCTGACCGGCAGGAAACTTGGAGTTCAACCAGTCGATATGTGTCTGCATTTCTGTGGCTTACACCAAACAGTGTGGTGCACCTAAATTCTATCAAACAGCATAGCGTTTACCTACCCGCTTAGTACCGGTTTTTTACGGGTAAATTGTCCGATAGTTAAGTCCAGAAAAATCGGTAACTGTTTCAACTCCGGACACTGTGAAAAAGAAACAAGTCAACCCAATGTTGTGAAAAAAGCATTTTTTCTTTTGCTTGCTTTTACCCGAAAATCCAGGATTTTCTGGAAAATCCAGGATCGTCATTGGATAGAAACAAATTAAAAGTACCGCATAATTACCGGTAAACCGCCGTTAAAGTGTATGCTCTATAAAATAATGCTCTTAAACTGACTAGGTGCGGTAATTGACCTGCTCTCGCGTACCGTAGCACATCGCTTAAATACGTCCTAGGAAATATCATAATTTATTCCGGTGTACAGTGTAAAGCAACGATTGGCCAATATAGACTTCATTAAAAAGGTAAGCGCAGTGTGTGGTCTTGAGCATTTTGCTTGTAGACCCCCTGCATTATGATCTCGCGAGTGGGCCTTACTGCTGCTGCCAAGAGTGGCGCTGTCTCTCGAGCAGTACGTTAATCTGCACCTGCTATATGAAGGTGTAACGCCATTAGCATCTCTGACTTTGTCTCTGTGCTACCACAGCTCTCGACCTCGGCCTCAGAGACCTACTCGTTCGTCCAGGCTCGCGCCGAGTACCGCAAGGAGATCGCGTCGCTCCGCAAGGACTTTATTGAGGAGGAGAAACGCCGCAGAGAGAAACTCGCGCGTGATGCAGAGTACGTGAAGCGGCAAATTTTCGGCTGCGATAGGAACGAAAAGCACTAACTCGACTATTTCTCGCATACAGGGCTCAGCGCCAGAAAATTATGAAGGCTAAGGCGGCCCGACTAGAGATTAAGCGCCAGCAGCAGGCAATCCGCGCTAAGGAGGTCGCTCGTGAGAAGGCCATCCACGACGAGAAAGTCAGGTGGGTCTCTTGAAGTGGCAATGCACATGTCGGCTGGGCACTTCTCGCTTGTCATTACTCAAGAGATTGTGCCCGCCGCGGACAAGCAGAAATCGTCGAGTAACTGATGAAATGTGGTTTCTGCTTGCAGGAAATACTTCGAGGAGAAGGTGGTGGTGCGCCAGGAGCGGAACGCCGAAGTGGAGCGCCGTCGCGAGGCACTGGTGGCCTCGTTGCGCCAACAGAGTGCCAAGTGGACAACCGGGGAGAATTACGCGGAGAAGCTCAAGGAGGACGTCTTCATCTACTCTCCGCAGCAGATCTCAGCCCGGGGCTCGTTCGACCCGTCGAGCACGTCGGGCAGCGCCGTTTCCTGGCTCGAGAAGCTCCAGCGGATGAAGCCTGCTGGAGTGCAAGACACCAGCGACGAGGCTGCCGCATCTGCCGTTGCGTCGGCTGCCGACGAGGAGGATGCCACCACGTACGTCTCCAGCGACGACGACGGCGTGGAAGCTTCCAAGCCGAAGAAGGAGGACGAATAAGCCAAAAGAGCGGAGCACCCGTACTATTTCTCTCCTTGACACGAGTACACACTACCTAGACACTTGTTGAGCCCTGTTTATTGCGTTGCTTGTCTTAATGATCTTGGCGCCTGCGTTGCCGGCTCCTGAGCCGAATAGACCGTAGTTGAAGCTCCTTTTCGTACTTAGTCCGATAGTAGGGAGGCGTTGAAATCTTAGAAATCTTTCTAGCGGCCGAAGCGAAGCATCGAGTAGATTGAAGAGTGATGGTGACGGCGGAGCAGGCCTTCCAGGCGAACGCAGCGGCGGTGGTGCGTGACTACTACGTGGAGCCGCGAATCGGTGCGTCTTGAGTCGATTGTGAGTGTGTGGACTGCCCGTGATTGATCCGCTTTGGATCTTCCGCAGATTACCGCACCATCTCGGGTGTGAACGGCCCGCTGGTCATTCTGGAGAATGTCAAGGTGCGTTGAACCGGCAGATCCACTGCGCAGTCGGGTGTACTGATGTGGCGCTTATTTTCTTCTTGTTTAGCTGCCCAAGTTCGCCGAGATCGTTAACCTGACGCTGGCCAGCGGCGAAAAGCGCCAGGGTAAAGTACTGGAAGTGCAGGGCAGCAAGGCCGTTGTGCAGGTGTTCGAAGGCACGGATGGCATCGATAACCGCCACACACACTGTGAGTTCACGGGCGATGTCCTGAAGATGGCCATCTCGGAGGAAATGTTGGGTCGCGCCTTCAACGGCTCCGGTAAGGCCATCGACGGCGCCCCTGCCGTCGTGGCTGAAGAATACTTGGACATCGAGGGCCAGCCCATCAACCCGTCGTGCCGTGACTATCCCAAGGAGATGATTCAAACGGGTATCTCCGCTATTGACGTGATGAACTCCATCGCTCGTGGACAGAAGATCCCGCTCTTCTCCGCCGCTGGTCTGCCCCACAACGAGGTACTAGGCAACAATGCTCGAGTTTGTATTACGCTAGAGCTGACTGTATATTGTGTGTGTGCTATGCAGATTGCCGCGCAAATTGTACGCCAGGCGGGTCTGGTGCAACGCAAGGACGTGGTGGACTCCCACGATGACAACTTCGCCATTGTGTTCGGTGCTATGGGTGTCAACATGGAGACAGCTCGTTTCTTCCGTAACGATTTCGAGGAGAGTGGATCTATGCAGAAGACGGCGCTGTTCATGAATCTGGCCAATGATCCTACCATTGAGCGTATTGTGACGCCGCGCCTGGCGTTGACCACGGCCGAGTATCTCGCCTACGAGCGCGACATGCACGTGCTGGTCATCCTGACGGATATGAGTTCGTACGCTGATGCCCTTCGCGAGGTGTCTGCTGCCCGTGAAGAAGTGCCCGGACGTCGTGGTTACCCTGGTTACATGTACACGGATCTGTCGACACTGTACGAGCGTGCTGGTCGTGTGACGGGCCGCAATGGTTCCATCACGCAGCTACCCATTTTGACCATGCCCAACGATGATATCACTCACCCCATTCCGGATTTGACGGGCTACATTACGGAAGGACAGGTAATTATTGGATCGTACTGCCATCACAACGAGATTTGGCTTGCTAACGTGATATTTGTTGCTGTTGTTGCTGTAGATTTACGTGGATCGTCAGCTGCACAACCGTCAGATCTTCCCGCCTATTAACGTGTTGCCATCGTTGTCGCGTTTGATGAAGAGTGCTATTGGCGAGGGTATGACGCGCGATGATCACAGCGCAGTGTCGAATCAGCTGGTAGGGTGACTATGAGTTGGTGAACTCGTGTGATCTAGATCTTGACGGTTTGTTTGATGTGTTCATGTGTAATAGTATGCTAGTTACGCTACCGGCAAGGATGTCCAGGCCATGAAGGCTGTGGTCGGTGAGGAGGCTCTTTCGCTGGAAGACCATCTGTACCTCAAGTTTACGGACAAGTTCGAGGGGAAGTTCATCGCGCAGGGTCCGTACCAGTCGCGTGACATCTTCGAGTCATTGGACCTCGCTTGGTCGCTCTTCCGCGCATTCCCGAAGGAGTTGTTGAAGAAGATTCCGAAGAAGCATCTGGACACGTACTATGCGCGTCGGACGCAAGCGCGTGAGGAGAAGGAAGAGGTGGCGTCCTGTTGATGTGGAGTTTGTGAACGATACGACCGATGACTGACGTTTTGTATGCTTTGCGATGTGTAGTGAGCGAGCTTGCCATGCTGAGCCCTTCTGGGTGCTATTGATGCTGCGTTCGTGGCAATGGATAAGGATTACAGTATCTGCGAGGGTTCTAGCATCGCATTTCTTCTTTCAAGCTCTGCACTTGTTCCAAATGTGTTGAAGAATCTACAAGTAAAATGAGAGCTGTTTGAAGAGTTTATTAAGTTACTTGCTTTGTGGTATTGGCAGCAGATGGCTTGCGCCTTCGTCGTCTAACTGCTGGTGGCGGTTGCGCTGGTTGCCATTCAGGGTCTGTATGTTGAAGCACAAGACGACATTGCCGTACACTGAAGTGCCGTTTGCGGCACGATTCGCACATTCGTTTGAACTCTGGGGTTTTAGCTGCACAGCGGGGCATACACAGCGGTATTAGAGCAACAATACAATAGCGAGGTAGTACTACAGTAGGAAATGCTCACCTGGAGGCCGAACGGGGACTACACTTCGAGCTGGTAAAGGCGTCTGCAACTGTGGTTGCCACTGCGACATTGGCATCAGCCCTCTCACGGCTTGAGGATTGAACATCAGTTGTGGAGCTCCAGGAAATGCTAAGAGCATGTTGAACATTGAGTGTGCTGGAGGCAGAGCGATCTTGGGGACGCTATTCCCGACCATGGCTGGCTTAATCGGCTGCTCTGCACTACTGGCCATTGGAATAGGTGATATGTGCGGAGGCATTGGCAACGATGGGGTCGCTGTAGGCATAGCTAGCTGGTTTGCAAGCAGCAGGTTCATAGGCGCCATTGGAGGAGCAGAACCTGGTGCAGAAGCTCCTTTCGTCGCTTGTAAGAACGCAGCGATATGTTGGTGCGCACGCAGCTGATTCGCCAGTGCTATGCCTCCACTCCCTTGTTGTGTGTTCTTCTCTCCTGACTTTGCAGTAGCGACCTCCAACATGCCATTTGCATTTTCGTTCATGATTGCACTGACGCCTTCCTCCTCCAGCACTTGATGTCGCGACTTGATCCATTGCTCCTTGGATCGTTGGATTTCACGAACCCTTTCGCCTGCTTCGATAGCTGTAAGCAATGCACCACGTTGCGCTTTCTTTTTTACCGCTTTCTGTTTTGCTGTCGTATTTTTCTCCGCTGTTGGAGCAGACTCTTGTCCATTCGCAGCGTCGGTAGTCAGATCAACTACTACTGGAGGCTCCGATTCATCGCTCTTCGTCTGCAATGGCAACTACAGTGTTAGATAATATACAATAGTAGAGGAATATCATGGGGCTGCAAGACGCAGTACCGTGGTGAGATTGCTGATGTTGTTGCTGTTAGTATTGCTGTAGACACCGAACATGGAGTCGATGAACTCGGCCATCTCCATCAGGTCTCGGTGCAGAATGCGCTGGTACCTACAGCAAACACCACGTTCACTACTGCAACACATTACTACAGCTTCATTACGCAAGACCACTCACGCGATAAGTCCTTCTACGTCTCCTTCAGCTTGGCTCTCGGCCGCCGCTACGATCAAGTCCTCGTTGACGGTTAGCATCTATGAGTGAACACAGCAATATTGAGCCTCTGGAGACACGATACAGCACAAGAGAGAGAGAGAGAGAAGCGCGTACGTCTGCAAACACATCCGAGATGGAGGAAGCGGCCCCGCTGTCCTCGTTGTCCGCTGCGGCCGCAGAAGAAGCCGACCAGCGCAGGCTGTTGCTCATCTTGGAGCAAATTGCATTTGGCGGGAATAGGGAAAATACAACCTAAATAGTGGACCCTATTTGGCGCCATGGGATCGAAGCCCGTCCTTCCTCCTTCACTATTAGCGATGAAGGAGCATTTAAGCATTTAAATACCAGAGGAAGGTAGCTTGTTTAGACTACACTGTAGTCGATGTCGAATAAAATTAAGAATTACGTATCAAAATCGCTATCGGAGATGTCATCGTAGACCCATTGATCTTCCTCGGCGTCGATGTCAACCATCAACAAGTCTCCCTCTGCAAATAAAATAACATCATAGTTAAGCACCGAGCTGGAAATGAAGTCATATACTGATAAACCTCTGACGCACCACTGCACGTTTCCCAGTCGAGCATGTCCACTGCGAGTCGCTCTACCAGCGAGCACGATGTTTTCTTCTGCGTCGTTTTCTGCTTCTTCGGTTTGGTGGTAGACGTGGTACGCGCATTCTTCTTCTTCTTTGCCGTCTCAATAGCCGGTGCCCACACATGTGCGCGTTGCGCCTGTTGAATCGGGCGCAACGATTCTGGACCTGCTTCCTGTTGTCTTGACTGTGCATCCGCGAGCTCACTAATCTGCGAGAGCACATTTAGCTGTGACGCGGGTGACAGCTGAAGCTCTCTGTGTGTATTCTGCAATCTGGAGTCGGTCTCTGAGCGTGCACATGTCAAATTATAGTACACAGCATACTAGATATCTATCACGTTACCGTTTTGCCGAGGCGCTGAGACCTGTGCAGCACACACCGCACTCGATGTCTCCGCCGTCTCCGACTGTCGCTGCTCCTCAACTGCCGCTGAGTAGGCCCATATACACGGGGACAGGGGCGAGTCTTCGTCCAGCACCGTCTCGGCATCGCTGTTGGGTGTCATCAATCAAGTTGAAGTGAACCATTCGTACTTAGTATGACATCTCCCATCGATTATGAACGTTGCAGAAGCATCGCAGTAAGCGACACAATCAAATCTGCCAGATCATGGAGCTGCGTTTCCGGGGCAAGAAGAGCGGCGAGGACGCGGATACCGTCGGCTTCTGGTAGGCATTGAAGGAAGCGGAGTGTATGAGTTTTTATCCATGGCTTCTCACGGTTTGCTACCTGTTTGCAGGCTGTGCGAGGGCCGGAAGAAACGCCGCGTGGTGGGCAACAAGACGCAGTCGTTAATATCGGCTGCACCCGAGTGGGAGCTGAAGCATGTACTGGAGAACACGGAACTGCAGTTTATGAATGAGTCCACGGGGCTCCTAGTGCCTCGTGATGAGGAGATGGGTAAGTTCATCTCGGAGCGTGACGTGGTGCGACTCTGCTCAATGGAGGAACTGGACGCGCTGTTGGAGAAGTTCGCTACACGCGATCAGGACATAGCGGCGGAGATGATGCACCCCAAGTCCACGACACCAATCACCGCAGCTCTGTAAGACCCTCGGACGTCGTGGGAGTCTACAAGTGGGGGATAGATACTAACATAAGCCCTTTGTTGCTGCAGGTCCCGTCTGAAGAAGATGAGCGTCACCAATCCGACGTTGAAGAAGCTGCAGCAGACGCTAGATGAGCACACGAGTCACCATTCCGCGGCAAAAGGCAGCGAAGCCGACGCATTGGACCAATTTCCGGAGGTGGATCCGATCTTTGAGGGCGGCGAGATCGAAGAGATCACTGGAGACTTTGGAAACCTCCCGAGAACGTGTGATATGTGCGAAGTTTCGTGGCCTGGCGATGCGTCGGAAAGTATGTATCGATGGACGAAGCTGGGGATTATCACGCATCAAGGCTGTGCGCAGTTCACTGCCGACGTGTTGGCGCAGCATCCGGAGATCACAACTCGTGAGGAGTTTCTGAGTATGTCCAAGACTCCAGTGTCGAGTCTGAACAAGCCTGGCACTTTCCACGTAACTGTACACCGTGCAATGGAGCTACCAGGGACGCAGTTACTTGGCAAACAGACACCATATGCAAGACTATCGCTGCTCCCCTGGAAGGAGCCAATGCAGACCAAACCCGTTGAAAATGGTGGCCGCAACCCAGTGTGGATTAGCACACATGACAACGCGATGCAATTCTCGCACATGTACAACAGCACTATCACTCCAATCCCGCTGCTGGAGATTGAGGTGTATAACTACAACTACCTTGCTGACGACCAAATCGCTTGCACATTAGTGGACATGAGTCCGTTGCTCCGATATCCCAACATTGAGGCGAAAAGGTGGTTTACGTTGTCTTCTCGAGCCTTGCTTACTCAAAGCACAGGCCAGCCCAAGATTATGCTCGCGATCAAGTTTGTACCGACAGAAGGGGAGATCAGCACCACCAACGCGCACAAGTTCCGCGTCCATCAGCTTAAGTCCATCGGTTTAGCGATACCCGTGTGCGCGGTGTGTACGTCCAATTTGTGATCATCGAGATTATTGGCTGGTTGAGTAACTTTATCATGCTTACTTATATTTTGTGCGTTTTTAGGTGATCGTACCATCATGAATGCGCTGAAAAATATCTGGGGTTATCGATGCGAGTTGTGCGGGATCGACGTGCATAAAGGCTGCATGATGAAGGCTACAATTCAATGTGAATGTGTTGCCCAGGAATTATTAGGCGCCGATCAGGAGGAAAAAGAGCGCAGAGGAACTAAATTCCGCGTGTTGAATGATGGCGTATCGCGCCCATCGGGGGAACTTTACGTGACTTTCCGCGGTTTGCATTTGTGCACGAAACACTGTCGAGATGACTTTCACGCGAAGAATATCTTTGAAGGGGATTCGTACTGCCGGCTTAACTTCGACGGCATTGTGCATGAGACCAGCCCAGTACTGAAAAGTGCCGACCCGATGTACATGGAACATTTGTGCTTTAAAGTCCGCCATCCGAACTCGGCCTTCCGCATGGATGTGATCGATTTCAACTCGGATCAATGCATCGCACAGCTGCATGTTTCGCTCTTCCAGCTTCTCCAACGCGAAGCTGACAAATTCATTCGAACGAATTCAACGTTGAAGAAGCTCCGGGACCCACTTCGTCTCTTGAGCCTCAACAATGAGGCGAACCAAGCTGCTATCAACGACTCGTGGGCGGCGCTACCAGAACTGGACGACAAAGACCACTACAAATTGTCACCGCCCCCAGGGTCAAAGCTTCAGCCCGGTGAGAATCTTGGTTTTGTGCTGATCGATTTGGAGTATGTGGAACACAAAGAAGACTTGCTTCGGGTACGAGTGGATAACGACTCTTCTCTTCTCGAGCGGGAGGAGAAGGAGTTTTCGGTGGATTCATTGCGGATTACAATTGAACGGTTTGGCCGGGCAGTGAAGCTTTTCCAAGGGATTGATGCGGAATATGCCAGTGTCATTTCGTGGAAGAACAAGAAGAAGTCTACAGTGTTTTTCACTGCGTTTGTGTACAGCTGCTTGTTTGCCGATTTGGAGTATGCTCTATCTTACATCTTTGGAGGAATCCTCTTGTACATGTTGTATCGCCTGCATCTTCGGCTTGAAGGCGCTTTTGTCGCTCGTTGGGTTGGATATGAAGAATATGAACGTGAGCTGGAGGAGGCGCAGAAGCTGTACAGACCACTAGCAGACTTGCACGTTGCTGTCCATGAAGCGCATTTGTCTGAAGAGACAGACAGTCTTCTCATGGAATCACAGTCCCGTATGAAGGACGTCTCATCCTCGAAGCTGGGCTTTTATGTTCGTATCAAATATCGCCCCAATGACAAGCAATCCAAGACAGGAGACATGGTGTTAATTCCTTCTGGCTACGAAGAGACTACTGTCGCTTGGACAAATGCAGTGGGGAAGAGTCGCAAGTCAACGTGGCGGAAGAGTTCGCTTCCCTCAGCTGGATCCATACCACCTGTGACGCTGAGGAAAACGCTTCCGTTCCGAAATTTCAACGTGTCTTGGCGTCATGATCCTAGGACGTGTACGTGTGATCAATGTGCTGCTTACCAGCGAAGTCTGAAGGAAGAGGAACAAGAGACTATTGCCTGTGGTGTCGATCATCATGCCTTCTACTTCCCAATCCCACAAGCATCTCGAAAGAACTTTTCCGGTCGTGATGATCTGGTGCCGTGGTCGTCGTTTCCTGGCCTTTTGCAGTTCGATTTGTGTGTTTCACTGAGTGGTGAAGCGAAGGAGACGCCAGACTTGATAGCTGCGAGTACTACGATCCCGCTTCGGAGTCTGCTTAAGCGGGGTGACAACTCGAGAGAGATCCTCCTCCCGTTGACTTCATTTTCGGATGCAGACGATTCGGTGGAGCGCATTTCTCAAAGCTCAGAGAAGTCCGAGAACGATTATCTGATTGTACGCGCTGAGTTTCGAGTCCCTGAAGGGAGCTTGATGTCCTCGAGTGATAAACTTCTACTTACCGAAATGTGCGAGCGAAAGGAAATGGTACCTGTGCAGCCGGCGATAGCACGGAAGAAACGCCCTGTCAGCCACATCGACCGCAACTTCTCCGAGTTTGTGTGCGAGAGTATGGTTGAGAAAGAAAAGTCCAAGATCATCGGTGCAAACCTGTTTGACGCCTTCTGGAAAGTCAAAGACACTATCAGACAGCTACAGAACGAGATTGGCCGTGCGTGTGGGGCTCTAGCTTGTGCCGAGAACCTCTTGAACTGGACGCATCCATGGAAAACTGCAACTGCTTTCGTCGTGGTAGCTCTGCTGGCGCTCGTGTTTTCGGTTATCCGTGGGCGTTGGGCGATTCTTCTCTTTGGGCTTACGGAATTTGGCGCGGTTTTTGTCGACGATGCTCCAACTAGCAAGCGTGTGAGAAAAGTTCTCTGGAATTACTTGTCATCGCTCCCTACAGATCAGGACCTCATTGATCTGTACGAGCCTGAGCGCACTGTGTACATGAAGAAGCGCAAAACGCAGCTAGAAGAGGATGAAGAAACAGCTATTCGGCTTCGCTATCATGCGCTGTGGATTGGTAATATTTCATCGAAGCTCGAAGGAGATCGCTACGCTAAGGTGCGCTCTGCCTCGCTAAGTTGTTTCACTAGTGATTGTACTAATTTGCTGTTTTGCGATGCTGTTTGCTTATTGTATTCTACTAGAATTACTTCATGGTGTATCGTCCGTATCGCTTCTTGTTGTGGAAAAGCGAGGATGACGCTGAAGAGGGTTCCCAGCCACAACTACAGCTCGTGGTAGGTGCTTTAATTGGAGGGTTATCTTCGAGTACTTACCTGTGGTGTACTTCTGTGATGTGATGATAGTTTGATAAGCCACACGCTGTCACCGATAATAGTGACGACAAGGTGTTCACTTTCAGCGTGTCGGGAGTAAATGGTGCTGGAGGCGAAGGTGAGAGAGACTACAATCAGCAGTGTTGCACCTGGTACCTATGCTAACCGCAACAAATTTTCTTTTTGGTTTGTGCTTAACAGAAACTCGTGTGTTCACGTTGGATTCTCTGCAAAAGAAAAACGATCTCTTGGATACTATTCACCAGAGCTGCAGACTGTAGCTTCTATCAGCCGCTACAGGGGTCGTTCACTTAGCCGATTCTTTTAATCACTGACTGGAATGGTAAGGCCTTCCAGTTTGCCTACGATCTCTTCGTCTATCGACCGTGTGTTGGTTCCTATTTCCTTTCGGATAATCTCTAGCTTCCTGCCTATTTGTGCGAGAACTGTCTGCACGATTTGTCGCCTCCCAGTCCTGTAGGTGATAGCCGCACAGAGACGATCGGAAACATCTTCTTGCAGGAGTTGTTCATCATGTTCAGCAGTTCCCCACTGCGCAATCGTTTCTACTAGAATGTCGCGGAGCCATCGCAAGGCATCGCGCAGGGCTGTTTGCTCAGAAAACTCTGCGGCAGCTTCACTTTGGTCCTCGTCTGGCAACGGATCTGTGAGCGCCGCAAGGAAGTTGGGTGGGAACAACTCGTCCAGCGAGCTCTGGCGGTCAATACGGATCACTCGTTTCATGAAGCGCAGCTTCTTGCCGCGCGGACCAGCACGATCCTTATCAATTTCGACATCGACGTAGTCCCATTCATTGTCGGTCAGTGCAAAGCCATAGTCGAGCATCAGCTGGAAGTTGGATCGACGGCCGTATGAGTTGAACACCTCTGCACCTTTCACGAAGCTCGTGGCGGCCGACGGATACAGCCGAAACAGTCCATTGTCGTTCACGTCAAAGTCATACTTAGTGGAGACATTATTGTGGTTGAGGCAGTCTGCGAACGGTACGAGAGCTGTCCAGGGCAGTCTCCGCCCAAATGTCCTTGCTTGGATCGTCTTCCATGCAAACTTAAACTTGTCGAAGGTGTAGAGCGTCTCTGGGAACTCGCCCGGGTATTTTTCCTGCAGCCTCGTGAGCACCCGTCGGTAGTATATACTAACCTCGGATGAGCGTCGTGCCGCTGCGTCTACGAGTCGCTCGTCGTACAGTTCATGGAGCTCGTCATGCGTCCAGTCCTGCACGCTTTCGGGGTACGGCAGGATGGACAGGTATGGATGAAAGAAGGAGCTTTCTTTTAACAGAAGCTCGCGTACAATGAAGAGCACCATAACGGGATCGTCACGCGTAAAGACGTCGCGGTTGTCCCTGAACACGGGGCCAAGCTGAGGGTCTTGCCAGCACAATTCCTCCGAAATGAGCAGTCGCCGAGGGATGCAGAGCATAGGTTCACCTGTAGTGATGGTCTCGGTGGCCACCGCGCCACGCAGTCCATTGGGCGTTGTCACCGGCCACTCTAACTTCGGGAACGTCGCGCCGTTGTCCCGTAGCCACTGCAGGAAGCGCAGCTCAGCCGATGCCATCGCTTTATGACGCTTCAAGTTGCTGCGTTCAAACCCTTTCCTTAAAACCTAGTTGTCCCCGAAATTAAATGTCCCCGAAATTAAACCCTACTTCAGGAATTGCGCGCAAAATGACGTCTTTATTCAAGGAACTGCGTTTCTACCTGGCGCCGAAGCTCTCGGACGCGGATAAGGCAGATCTAGAGAAGGCCATCGTACAGAATGGGGGTGTCATTTCAGATACCCCCGCGGACGCCACGCAGCTTGTGGACTACGATACACTGGACGTGCGCCACCCGGAGCGGATCGCCACGGACTTCATTAAAGAATCGGTGGCCTCCCGGGCGCTGCAGGACCCGGAAAAGTACTCCGGCAAGATCTTTACGTTGCACCAAGAGAAAAGGAGGGGAAAGAGGCGCGGTAGAATTCCCTACTCGCTGGAGGACGACGCACGGATGCTGCACTTCGCCAAGTCGAGGGATTGGAAGTCCATGAGCTCCATCCCTGTGAGTGTCTGGAAGCTGGCGGAGAGCGAACGAGTGACGCTTCACCCCGCCCTCAGCATGCATGAACATTTCAGGAAGCAGTTGCAGCGCAAGACGCCCATCGAGCAGCGGATCATCATGTCCAAGGCTGCGGTAGGCTCCTTGTGCAACGTGTCCTTGGGTGGTACAGTGAAGAAACTGACTATTGTGTTATTACGCAGGCGATGATACGAGCGCGGTTGCTGGAGCAAGAGGCCGAGGGAGAAGAAGAACGACAGGAGATGCTTAGCTCGACAGGTTTCAGAGATGCAGCAACGCCCGAATCAACGACTTCAACGCAGTCGCGGGGGTCCCAGCGGACTCCGATCTCTGCTAGTCGTCAGATTGCTACCACTTCAGAGCCGAACACAATTGAGTCTGGATTAAAGGAGATCGAGGAGGAGAAATACAGTGATAGGATACGCCACAACCAGCCAGCTCCATCACAGGATACTCCAACCCAATTAACTCCTGCGACGCCAAGAGATCAGAGCACGGGACACAAGCGTAAGCGAAGCAGCGTCGCTGCTGCCAGCCAGGAATCTCGCCAGGACACCGGGGAGAGCGATGTTGAGAACAAGCGTGGCGGAGAGTACGGAATTTACTTCCGCTGCGCTTGGACTGAACTTGTGCAAGACCAACAAAAGAGGCGGATGCTTCAGCGGTTTTTCGAGCCAAGTCCGGCCCCTGCTCCTCAACAACGAGCAAGTAGCACCGACTCTGTCGTCAGTGACCAGGACACCGCCACTGTTGTCTTTGAGGATGGAAATAGCAGCGAAAATGGTAGCGAGCCGCTGCAAACTAGCGCTGTGCAGATAGAGTTTGCTACGGACGAGATAACCGACCACTTGATCGTCCAGTTACAGATCGACACTCAGGCAAACGTGCCGTCCGTGATGCACGCTTTGTACTGTTGCAGCGGTGATGTGGATTTGGCTAGAGCCTTCTTGAAAGGGGCTTCAGTGCCCGATCTATGGTCCCCTGAAGATGATTTACTACTGGTAACTCTGGTGGCTCAGGAGAATATCGATCGCAGCGAAGTTGCTGCGGCTGTGGCTCGTGGCGACTTCGATTCTATGCAAGTGGCTCGCGATGCGGGGGCAATTTGGAAACGAGTTCAGTTTTTGCGATAATATTCTCGCTAAAATATGGTACATGTCTTGCTCAAAGCGCAGTGCGGTTCCTCTCCGTTGTATTTACCCCGTTCGACGAGGTGACGTTGGGATTTCGTCCTTCCAGCCACTGGTAAAGCCATTCGTGTGTGGTCAGCCCCCGGAACGCGATGTACAGGTGGAAAATGCCGAGCATTGCAAGGAAGAAAAGCTCTAGCAGTGGCAGGATCGTGAGTACGCACAGCATCACAGCGCGATCGTTCTTGTCGTCTTGCCCCGACGTAAGTAAACACGAGACGGCGTAACCCGTAACGATCTGCTGAGTGAATAGCAAGAGAGTCGAACATGACAGCAAACCGACGAACAACGGGTAGTTGCGCGTGCCAATGCATGTGTTTAGGTACACGCAGTGGTGGTCGTAGCCCGGGATACACTTGTTGCATCGGCTGCAATGTCTCGTGTCGGTGGTGAATGTCATGTGACCGCAGTCTCGGCATTTCACGAGCACTGACTGCGATGACAAGAGCTCAGAAGCTTTGACATCGGATGCAGTAGTATTGGCAACTGTGATTGCCATCGTGACTTGGGCAGTGTCAATTTTACCGCTCGACTGCGATGAATGCATTTCTTGGTGTCTCGGTTGTCCCGGGTCGAAGCGTGAAATCTGCACAGTGACACACAAGCAGTCAGTTAATGAAGCAGCCGAATCCACCATTAAAGTTTTCGTACAATGACAAACAGTAGAGCGGTGATGGCGAACTGTACGCTGTATAGCGGGATTACGGTGCGTTGCATGAGTGCAGGCAGCTCTTGAACACTGAAGAGAAAGAAAACCATCGCCGACAGCAGCGCAATGCTCACCACCTTAATGCAAAGACAAATTGGTTGGTTAGAAAGACGTCCTGCTCACTCAATTCACAGCATAACGGACTGCAATCTGCGACGGATGCAGTGGAGCTTCACAGCCATGACGACGAGGAGCTCCACGCACCATCAGCTTCAGCGGCTGGTCGTCTCTTGCTTCAATCGGTTTAGTCGTACTTAGAAAGTACACAAGGCAGAATGAGCAAGCTGAACGACTCGCCGAAGCGATCTCCGACCAGCGGCGACATGCTCAACCGCGTGGCCAAGACGACGTTCGCCCGCGTTAACGCGCTATTCAGCAAGACGCAGACGCCCTGCTACCTCCCGCCAAGCATCGCGGGCAATGTGCCTCACCTGACTCCAGGTGGGACAGGCAGGGGAACAACGGATTGGGTTGTTATACTAATGTGCGGAACTTTGGGTGGAAAGATAACTGCAGCAAAGTGGAGGACTTGACGGCTCAGGTGGTGGACTTCGCCGATATGTGCGTCTGTAGTCACTTAAGCTGGCACTTGGCTTTTGTTTCTGACATTGGATGTAGTTTGGGCTTAGTGAAGCTGGCGACAGACAAGAAGAAACCTTTTCGGGAGCTTCTGAACGTGACGGACTATGAGCTCGTGCTTTCGGCTAGAGACTACATCAGTGAATCGGTAAGTGTCGCTGCATTTATTTAGTGAACTCAGTAGTACTGACGCCGTGTCTACCTGCTTGTTTAGAACCCGCCGAGCTCCAAGGGTACAGGCTTCATGGTCGAAACGAGCAGTGGGCGACGTATCGTTTCCATCGAGGAGTTCATGACTGCTACGAAGTTGCTGCAGCCAGAGCTCGTGGTGCCGCTCGCTGACGAGATTCCAAGCGACAAGGGTCGAAACCGGCACCGTGCTGCTGTCCAGACGTCGCTAGACTGGCTGGACGCCTGTCAGTCACTAAATACTTCGCTGACGCCCATATGCGGAGTGGTTGTAGGAGGAAATGACCACACGTTGCGACGGATGAGTGCCGGCGAGACGTGCAAGCGCGACATCCAGGCGATTCTGCTCAGTGGCCTGGGTTCTTGCACCGATAGAGCGAAGCGCTTGGAGCTGATAGACGCCATCGTGAGTGAGATCACTCCAGCGTCGCTTCCACGTGTCGTCACTGGGATCGGGCATCCTCTCGACGTACTGGACACCGTCAACCGTGGCATCGACGTCTTCGTGTCGCCCTACCCGGCTTCAATCACCAAGGCAGGGTCTGCACTGATCTTTTGGATCAGTGATGATGAAGACGGTGGCAGTGCCAGTGAACGCAATGCAGAACGGGAGTGTTCGGGTGGAGTGCTGCACTTGCGTGAGAAGCGGTTTGCGACCGACTTCGGCCCACTGATGGCGGGTTGCGACTGCTTTGCCTGTCAAAAGTATACACGCGCGTACATTCATCACCTGCTGAACGTCCGGGAGATGCTGGGCGACATTTTGTTGTATTTACACAATCTGCAGCACTATTATCGCTTCTTCCGGGAGATCCGAACAGCCATCAACACTGATCGCTTTCCCACCTACCATGCCGAATTCGCAACGAGGTTTGAGGAAAGAGCTTCAACTGCGGCGCCGCTCATTATCCCTCCGGCGATAGAAGAACGGAAGCGTAAGGTGGACACCGAGAAAGCAGCGACGAAGGAGACCAAGGCGAAAGCTGCTGCCGCCAAGCATGAAGCAGCGATTCTGAAGCGTCCGCGGCCCTAGATGATGCATAGAAGACCGATAGATTGCTTCATATACGATTCAATGTTAGCACGGCTGCTTCTGATCTTCAGAAGATCTTTTGAAAAGTCACTGGGGTCCAAGGAGTCGCGATCTTGCCTTGCTTGTCAATGACCCCCAGTCGTTTGGCATGTCATTCTGCATTGTGCGAGAGAAGAGTGGAGTGAGAGCTCAGCATGAGGCGGTTCCGTGCGTGGGTAGCGGTGGCGGCGGCATTGCTGGTCTCGAAAAGTTTAGCAGGCGATAATTACCTTGCCGATCGAATTGACAGGAAACCAGCGGCCAAGCACCGTAACTCGGCGCTGTCTGGAGGACACAAGGCGCTCGCGTGGCAGGGCAATGACGAGAAGGTCGGACAGCTTCGAGGGTCAATTACGGCCGCCGAGACGACGAGCACCACACCTTACGGCTCCAAGACACAGCCCCCTTCGACTTATACTCCAGTGAGTAGGCGAATTGAGCCGAATCCTGTGGCGGATGGAATAAAGCAAGGAGAAGTCTCAGCGGTCATGGTGCCTTGGGATAGCGTCACTTCGACGACTTCACGGTACTACAGCGCGGCGACGTCGTCCGGACCGCCTTCCGAGTCGACCATTAGCAAGAGTAACGAGCAGCAGCGCACCGGAAGACTACCTGGCTTTATATCCAAAGTAGACACTGCTGGACAAGTGGAAGAACCTAACTACAATCAGAATGCTCCTACCAAGGTAGATGCACCCGCAGACAGCAACAAATATTCACCAGCTTCCATGCCAAATCCGCTACCAGCTGAGATTGATTCAACTTTACCGCGAGCTGATGAAGTGGGTCGTGCTGGGGGAGTTGTGGGTGTTTTCGTCCCATGGAGTGGTGGAGCTTCCACGCCGGCAAGTTATGGACGCACTGGAGTGCCCGGACGTCGCGGGGATGAAATCAGTAATGATTACTTTCCAAGGCAATACAACTATGGAGGTACCAGTGACGAAAAGTGGAGTGATCGACGAAAGGCAATTGATAACACGCATCAGCGCGACTCGAGTGATAAAAATATGGATAAGTTGAACGAGGGGCAAAAGTGGACGGAGAGCAAGGCTGGGAAGCCAGCTGGAGCACTTGATGGCATGAATGCCGCGTCGTACAAACAGGATGCGATCGATAAGAACGTGAGACCTTTGTCGACAAAATCTCAGTATGGTGAGCAGAGAAGCGTTCCCTATATCGACAAGGCGAGTTTACCGACGAACAAGCAGGTAAACTCCGTACCAAATTCTGGGTCGGATGAAGCAACACACGAAGGAAATGCAGCGACGGTGGACGTTTCCTGGGAAACAAGAGCTTTTAAGTCTTCGGGCTATTCGAGCGCAAAAGCGTCTGCATCAGAGTCGGACCATCACGAAATGACCGACGTGTATGATGGTGCCTTGGGACCTATTACTCCCTGGAATGACGGTAGACCTCAGTTGGTGAAAGAATACACGACGAAGAAATCCACGCAGACCCAGGGGTACGGCCATCTCTTAGGCGACGTTATACCATGGAATGAGGCTTCGTTGTTATTTGCACGAGGCTTACAGTCAGAGCCTGAAAACCTGCAAACTAGTGAAGTTCGTGTAGAGAAAACGATCGATGAACCCAGTGTACACGGAGGATCTAAGGACGAAGAAGACGGGGTGATGACGACGATGACTGTCAGTGATGAGAATGTGCGTTGGAACCAAGACGACTGCCAACCCTGTGAAGTTCCGACTCAACCGCCAACACTTGCTCCCCCATATCCTCGCGATAACGATGACTACGAGAAACGCCTTCCGACTATTATCGATGAGAACGAATCATGGGAGGACCTCAAGGAGAATCTACCATCAAGTAGTCCCACCAACACTCCAGAGGAGAAGCCTCACAATGGCGAGTTCGTTCACTGCACGAAAATCGTTGGAGACTATGGGGAGAGATATGAGTGTACAACGGAGTCAGCAACACCAGCACTGACGAAAGCACCAACCGACAATGCCTGCATCGATGTTTCGGTTGAAGGTGATGCAACGTATTGCATCCAGGGACCAATCTGCAGCGGATCGGGTAGTAATCCTACTGGTTCGTTGTGTCCGGTCAAGGGGGATGTCGCCGTGAAGGATTGCAATAGCGACAAATTGCCGAGCTGGACCAGTGGCATTTGTGTGGCACCGGCTGATGCTAGTTGCTTTAAAATCAAGACCGGTGCGTGGGGATGTGTGTATGACGAGGCGAACAATACTACGACAAATTCTACGGAGTCAGCAACACCAGCACCAACGAAAGTACCAACAGACAAGACCTGTATCGATGTTTCTGTCGAAGGTGATGTAACGTATTGCATCCAGGGACCAATCTGCAGCGGATCGGGTAGTAATCCTACTGGTTCGTTGTGTCCGGTCAAGGGGGATGTCGCCGTGAAGGATTGCATTAGCGACAAGTTGCCAAGCTGGACTAGCACAGGTGCATGCGTGGCGCCGGCTGACGCTACTTGCACGAAAATCAAGACCGGTGTGTGGGTGTGTGTGTATGGCAAAGCAAGCAATACTACGACGAACAGTAATGGTGAAAGTGACACGCCGACCCAGACGCCAATGGAGACATCATCGAATCTGCCGACGGAAACGCCCACAGTGGCGCCGTATGAGTCTACCTCGTATCCAATAGAACCTGAAACTACAACACCAGAACGAAATGAGCCCACACCAGCTCCGTCCAAGCCCAATGAAGATGAGTCAACATCAACTCCGTCGAATCCTAATGAACCAAATGAGCCCACACCAACCCCGTCCAAGCCTAGTGGGCCAGATGATGAATCCACACCAGCCCCAACCAAGCCTAGTGAGCCAGGTTATGAATCCACTCCAGCTCCGTCCGAGCCTGGTAAACCAGACGAATCCTCTCCAGCTCCATCTAAGCCCAATGGACCAAGTGATTCCACGCCAGCTCCGTCCAAACCTAATGAGCCGGATGAGCCCACTCCAGCGCCGTCTCAACCATCCGAAGCAACTCCTGCCCCGACGAATCCCTACGACGAAGCAACTCCTGCCCCGACGAATCCCTACGACGAACCAACTCCTACACCTGCGGCATCGATCACTGAGGATGGAATATCAACTGGTAAAACGACATCCTCATCTACCACTACGAAATCATCTACTTCCAATACGACCGCTGGACCTTCATCAAGCACCAAAACTACTGGTACACCGGCGACTAAGACATCGACTTCGTCCGAGGACAATGCATATACTAACACTGGTACGTCCGGAGCGGATGCAAATGTTGCTGGAGCTTCGACCTCAACCGGTACCACCTCAAGTGGAGCTTCTGGCGTCTTGAGTGGTGGAGAAATTGCTGGAATCGTCATTGCATGTATTGCTTTCGTGGCTATCATCGTGGGCGCAGTGCTGATCAGACAGAGGTCGATCGCTCGACAACGCGAGGAGAATTTGTTCGCTGAGCTGAGCGGTGCTGGTGGGCGTTCACTCGAGACCGACTATGCAGCGATGTAAGGGAGAGATGCGGAAAACGAAAATGTAGCAAAATGACACTTTGCCTAAGCGTAGCTTTACTTTCTTACCTAGATTCACTCTTCGTCGTCATTGTTGCTCCGGCCTGCCTTCGTTCTGCTCAAGCTCTTGAGGTCAATGACAGACACACGCGATTTCCCCATCTTCTTGCTTCGAACCGGTTCTTTTGTAGCGGTGGAAACTGCGTTCTTGCCAGTACTGCTTGGTTTAGTACTTCTGGCGGATGACATTCGACTGGCAATGGAAACTGGTGTCTGTTGTTTCAACAGATAGTCCAAGGTGACTCCGCGAGCTTTGAGAGCTTCTTCTAGGCGGTTCAGCTGCAATTGAGCCTGTGCCAAGTCACGCTCCGCCTTCTCAGCTCGGACTTCAACGGCGTCGGCTGCATCCTCCGCTAGCTGCCGTAGTCGTGTCTCCTGCTCTTGAGTCTCTCGTGCAGCGATTTCAGCTTGCTCTGCTTCACGAGAAGCAGTCTCAGCTGCAAGCAGCTTCTCCTGCAACTCTTTCGTGGTGCTCTCCAACTCGGCCAGACGCTGTGCTTCGTGACGCAACTCGGTCTGATGATTGGTGTCGATGTCACAAAGTTTGCGTTCGAGCTCTTCTAGTTTCACTTGCAATTGCTCTTTCTCGTCTGCGAGCTCAACGATCTGAGCGGCTTTCTCGGCCAATTTCTGCTTGTTCGCTTCTTCCTCGCGCAAGAATGCCTCGTCACGTTGCTCCAGTTTCTTTTGCCACACCTCAACCACATCGGCACGTTTCTCCTTGGCATGTTCTAGCTGTTTCTTCAGTTGTGGCAGTAGTGCCAATTGACTCTGGAGCGTTTTCGTACAACGAGCCAGCTGCTCGTTCTCCTGGAGAGCTCGCTGGGCCTCCTCCCTCTTCTCTTTCAGCATTTTCTGGCATTTACGTTTGGTCTCGTCGACAGCAAATTTGGTTTTCTTTAGATCAGCCTGCAGAGATGCTATCTCTCGGTCTTTCTCCTCTAGATCAGCGGTCAACTGGGCGATCTCCGCTGCTTTCTGAGCCTCCAGATCGGAGACTTGTTGCATCAACTCTTTGGTGTTGGTCTCCAGGTCGGTGTTTCGGGCTGTGAGATGTTGAATATGCTGCCTCAACTTTAACTCCACCGCCTTGTTACTTCCTTGTTTACCGGTCTGATTGTCTCGGTTGGATCCAACGCTACCTCCTCGTGCTGTCTCCTTGTCACCGCTACCTGGAGCCGACACCACATTCTTCCGAGCAGCTAAACGCAGTTCCTCTTTTTCTTGGCGCAACAGGACGAGCTCCTTTTTCAGCTCCCGTGCCTCGTGCACTGCACGCTTCATCGTGCTTTCGACAGCTTTGCGAGCCTCAATCTCGGATCGCAATCGGCATTTCACAAGACGCTATGAAGACAGAAGGATTGACGGGGGCTTAACACGCGTTGGATTCAACATAATTGAAAAGTAACACGCAGTCCAGGTTGAAATCGACTCACCTCGATGTCCTCCTCTTTCTGCTTTCTAGTATTGGTGGATAGTGTCGCCATTGCTGGTCTCTTTGTGCTCTTGCACAAGTTTACCTTCTCCTACACTAAACCGAACTTGTTGTGCCTGTTTCCCCAAAGTTAAATACTACTGAAAATAGGTGATTGAGAGAGCGTTTCGTTCTCGGCGGCGTATCCTTTACAACAATTTGGTTTGAGCCATGGCAGTGAATGCTCGCGTTAAAACGAAGAGCGAGTTTCAACTAGGGTCGGACCTCGGACCCCCGCTCGTGTATCTGGATCTGAGTGTTGGCGATCAGCCCCCGCGGCGTCTGCACATCGAGGTCTGTACTGAAAAACAAAAAAGAAATGTATTAGGACGCAGACCTTAAGCAAACGATTTTCAATGCCTAATCAGTTTATCTCGTACAACCAGCTCTTCCACGAGGAACTTCCGACCACGACCGACAACTTCCGTCTGCTCTGCACCGGTAGAGACTGCATTGTCTTGGAGTGAAACTTGCGATCCCATCGCTTGACCGCAATTGCAAATGCTGCAGGCGAGCTGCGAGGCAAAGGGAAGGTGAAGACGCTGTGGTACAAGAACACACGCTTCCACCGCGTTATCCCCGGATTTATGATGCAGGGCGGAGACATCACCCACGGTGCGTCGGCAATGAGAAGAGGCCAGTTCCTCGATAGATCACGCGACGACTCGAACGTTCATCTTGTGGAGTAGGAAATGGAGCGGGAGGTGTGGCTGCTTTAGGGACGGTGTTCGACGACGAGGTGTGTTTTGCTGCAATTACTTGCCAGAGTTCATGCATGGGTTGACTCTTTTGTCGCATCTTGTATCAATGGACAGAGCTTCCTCTACAAGGTTCGTCTCTGTATGCTCCCTACTATGCTCTCCACGAGCTGACTGTAGACCGCACTGCTGTAGCACCAAGTGGGAGCAGTGGCCACGGCTCATCAAAACTCGAGCAATCGCTCGCAGTTCTTCATCTGCTTCAGCAAGGTAACGTTGTCTGGTACAGTGCTGTTCTGATGTTGAAGTTGCCCTGAATGATGGTCGTTTTGGATCGGGCAGCTCAGTTGGCTGGATGGCAAGCACGTGGTGTTCGGGCAAGTGTTGCACGACGACCTGCCGCACTTGGCCGTGTTTGAAGCCGCGGGCTCTGCGTCAGGCCGCCCTCTCACCCCCATCGTGGTCACAGACGCCGCCCAGTTGGGAGGCAAAGGGTTCACGCTGAAGACGGATAATAGCGAGAAGAAGACACGCGCGACAGAATAGACGCCAAAGTTGGGGCATACGACAGAATAAACGCGCCAGGGCGACAATAAATAAGGCAATATGGGCTCATCCAAATTTCGACCAATCAACGTCTGCCAACTCAAAACTCGTGGCTGAATCCTCCTTGTACGGTAAATGCCCAATGGAGGTCTTTCCGAGACGCTTTATCAAAAACTTCGACGTGATATGTCGGAAGTTATGACGCAGGACAGGGAAATACGCAGCCAGGTCCTATTGTCGCCTTGCTTTGCTACAGCGTGGTGCATTCCTGCTTCTTCCACCGTCGACAAAGCTGCTGCTAGTATGGCCTCGCTTGACCGGCCGGAGGACGGCGACCTGCTCATGGACGACTTTCTATTCCACGAGACGGACGTCTTTGCGCTTCCACTGTTGGACTTCGATCCGGACGGTGCGCTGCTGACGCCCACCGAGCTGAGCTTGAGCCAGACGCACATGCAACAGACACAGCAGATGCCATTCCCAGTCTCGGACAGCGAGTTGAACTACAGCAGCAGCAGCAAACGAAGCAATCATCAGCCGACCAGTCCAGTGAGCACCGATGGCGGCAGCACAGACGCAGAGGTGTCCACGCCGCCGCCACCTTCCGTTCAGCAACAGAAGCAGCACAATGAAATGGACGTTGTCTCGTCGCCAGCTGCGAGAATGCCGACGGTTCTAGGCTTGTCGACGGCGACACACTCACCACTTCCCAGCGAGCAAAAGCTATTAGCGCCCAGATCCAGCAGCATCAGTAGCAACACCAGCGCCACTAGCAGCAGTCCCAATGGGACGACGCCAATCAATGCAGCCAAACCTATGCAGCCAACCAGCACGGTGCTGCCATTGCCGACACCTACGGCGTTCTCGGGCGCTCTACCTTACGCCATGCCAGTAGCCTATTTCCAGCCGACACTCAACGCCAACCTGAAGCGGCCGTTCCCGCAGGTATTGCCAGGCCCAACAACGCCCAGCACTTCCACTAATGCACCTTCAATGGTTGCTACGAGTCCTACCGCCGACACTGATCCCAACGCTAAGAAGTCGAAGCGCGAGATCCGTCAGATGAAGAACCGCGAGAGCGCCAACAAGAGCCGCCTAAGACGCAAAGCGCAGCTGACGACGCTGACGACGGAAGTGACGGAGCTCAAAAAGAAGGAACAGGAACTACAGACCATCATCGCTGGCCTGCGAGCAGAGAACAAGTCGCTGCTGGACCAGAACACGTTCCTGCGCTCGCTGGTGACGAGCTTTAAGCAGGAACCCACGGCGTCTCCAGGCAGCCACCAGATGGCTGCGGCATTCGCGTCGTTGCCCCCACCAGTGGAGCAGAGCTGCGTGGCTCTCAATATGCTGGAGAGCGGCCAGAAGATGGAGGTGAATGACGACATACAGACTACAGACGTGGATCTGGCCATGACGCGACCGGGCAAGCGGCGTGCTGTGGCGTCGACTCTATCAACGGCGAGTCTGGCAGTGTGCGCGTCCGTGTTCGGGATCACCATTTTCGCCGACTACGATGGAGGTGTCGTTGACTCGGGTAACATTCGTAGCGTTGGTCGTGTATTACACGAGGCACCGGCGGCGTGTGGCATGGAAGGATGCTCTTCCGATACGTCGATGTCTCTGGTGGGCTTCGTGGTGACCGCAGTGAGGTCATGGTGGCAGTTCGTGTCGTCGTCCGAGCTGGTATTTGGCGTGCTGCTGAATGTGCTATCCTTTATTGTTATCATGGTGCTGTATCAGCTGTGGCAGTCGCAGTCGGAGGGAGGCTGGTTCTGGAAATCCTCGGTCTTCTCGAAGACTGATCGTCGTGGTGTTCGACACCAGGCTGATTTGTCAGCAAACAGCTCTTCGTCGAAAGGCGAAAAGGAGCGGAACGGAAGTGCTCGAGATGTTCGAATACGCGAGAAACCTCTTCGTCATAAGAAGACTCACGAATAACTGATAACTTGTATTCATTTAAATGAAAATGCGTTGTGCACGTATTCGGCATCACTGTACTACGAATAAATAGTTGGGTAACGCAACTATTATACGGAAGGGTTTCTCATGGTACTACGATGCCATCTTGCTCTGGAGATCCCAGTTCTAGTTCCTGTACAGCGGCAAGTGGATTCACTTTCCCCTCGAACGGCAATGAAGGGGAAGACGACAGAGGTGATCCAGCAGATGCCGAGCTTGCTCGAGTGCGCTCAAACATGCGGTTGGACTTGCTGGAACAGTTTTCGTCATCGTTTAAGTAATTGAACCCTGGTGTCCCCACACCACTTTCCATCGGAAGATCGAGTACCGTTGACTCCACTGGTGAAGCATCTCGCTCAAACAGAAGCATGACGGCCGCCCTCCCATTACTCGATTCACGAATTAAATGTATACACTCTTGGAAAAGTTCCAGTGGCGTGGATCCACCACGAGGCCGAGATGCAGCGGTGCCAATGACACTCTCGTTGATAAAGTCAGCAAAGCATTGCGTCTGTGTGAACTCGCTCAGGAATCTCTGGTTGGATGGCACCGCGTTACAGAAATTGTTGTAGTCGAACTGTACACATAAAGCTAATGCAGACGAACGGCGTCGTAACCGGCCAAACTGCTCTGGTGTCGGTAGCGCATGCTGTCTGCAAGAGGGGTCATTCATATCGGACTCCTGGTGACGAACGTCGATGTATCGTCGGTAGTCGCAGAAAATGCTAGCAAACATTGCAGCAAAAGCCCCACGAAGCGTATCCACCCACGGAAGCAACTGGTTCTCGTGCACAGTCTGTAGCGCTGAAACCAGGGACAACGCGTGAAGTCGCTCAGCAAAATGGCAGGCATTCTCGTAAGGCAGCGTTGCATTCAAGAACCGTAGACGGATTGGACGGCTGGCACGACGCAAGTAGTCGATGGTTTCTTCGAACGTCAAGTCTAGTGTGGATTGACCATTGATACCGATCAGAAAACTTCCAGCGGAGATCAGCCTGGAACGCTCTGCTGGTCCTACCGCTCCATTATGAAGCCGTGGTAGCGCCTTCACGACTGCAGACCCGCCCAACTGCCTTTCAGGATTGAAATTACTTGCTGCTAAAAGACGAAGATGTGTGGACTCGAAAGTTATTCCAAGCTTGAGGGCGAACACAAGGTACAACATTAATTAGCATTGTACATGTAATGGGGTAAGGCAAACAACTTTTGAGTACGTACCGGTCCCTCATCAAACGTAAGTTCCACCTCATTAACTGTATTTGAATCATTTTGTGGAGATTCTGGGGTAGGATTCTTCTGGACAGGTAGAGTGTGTCCAATGGGACTGGGTACTATGTTCTCAAGCGCTGTAAGGAGGGCAGCAACTTCCTTTGAAGGTAGTCGAGGTAATACGAATTCGACAGGATAATCATCGACTCGCGAAAATATCGGGGATACGACTTTATCCTTGTCCAAATGTACAACAACACACGACGCAAACATTTCAGCGCCCACTCGCGTAGCCAACGAGTTCGTATGCAGCCCGATAAAATATGGTACAGGAGCCTATAAAAGCGATAAGGTAAGGTGTGGTTAACGCCATGATAGCAGCAGATTCATGTGTTTTAGCACGCACCTGGAGGTATTCGATCAACTTGACGGGCAGGAAAGGAATAAAAACATGTTTCCAATTGAATGGAAACAGTAGTGCACAAAGCGCCTCGCAAATTGGAGTGAGAAGGCCTTGGTGCTGAAGCACAAACCACAAGTAAGCAGGTTTAGTCGCGTGCACAACCATAATGGGGGAATAAAGAATGGGTCGTACACTTGAGTGGACCAGTACGCGCTGTTCAAGTAGCAAACAGTTGACGATGTAAATGACGTTTTTCAGACTCAAACACTGAAACAGCATCTGGAAGCAATAGTCATCCAGGTGCACAGCTTTTCCCCGTTGCACGTGGTAGCGGAAGAAAGCTCGTCCATGCATCCGGATATCCAAGGCCCTACCTGGAAGAGGTCGACTTGCGTTCCGTATCAACTGCGGGAGGATACGATAGTACAAACCACGGATCCAGTTGCTGCTATTGTCACGACCATCTTTCCAGCCAGGAGATGAAGCACGGATTCGGTCAATAGAGCTCCTGCTGTTGAAATTGAGATGCTCCTGAGTTGGCAATACTGGTGATGCATGCCTGGGCGACAGGAACCAGCTGCGATCTTCACAGGCATGCGCGATCTTGGTCTGTACAAGTGAGTATTCCGGCTTCAAGTTTCGACTTCGATACATCCAACTGCAACGAGGGAGTGATCCGTCAGCAAAGATAATAAAATATCGACGATAACAAACAAGACTTACCTGACAATTTCCTTGAAGAGTGAGAAAAATGGGTGATGTGAAATCAAGCACACTACACGGGGTCTCCAGTCCGTAGCTGCAGCGACACAACCATTAGAAGAAAATCAACGCTGCAATCCCCCAACTCGAACCAACCCGCAGTCGTGTATTCTTCGAAGAAGTGCAAGGCAAAGCCGTATGCATGGATACCATCTCCTCCCGTAAGTATAAACGAGAAGAACGTGGGCTTGCGCTCGTAGACTGTCGGGTTGAAGAATGCCTTGCTCTCTGGGATACAAAACTAACAGCAGCTTCATTTCAGCACAAGTCACTAGAATGATGTATCATTATATGCCCTTACGAATGGCACCCCATCGGGCAGAGCAAAGTCCGGATGGTCGCTCGAAGGGATCCGTGTCACGATTTTCCGCTCAAAATCCTCATCCTGCTGCACTAAAGGAAACCAATGGCCTACCGTCAGCCACACAAGTACATTTTTGACTGAGAAAGTGTATGGTCTATTTACCCGCTGGCTCAGCGACCACCTCGACGAAATAATCCGCTAGTCGCGCCATTGAGCCAGCGCTGCTCGTCGTTCTAGGTCTCATGTTTGTGGTATTGGGTCAATGTTGAGAAGAGTTTCGGAAATAATCGGGTGACACATGAGATTTATGTGCGGCACATCACTGCAACCTGCGGCCAGTCTGACGACGCAGGTACCGTCGTCACCCATCACCATTCGAGCAAGCGGACGGTGGCAATGCTGGGCTCTCTGCGCGCTCTGCGTGCGGTGCGTCTGTCGCTGCGGCAGACCCGGAGCTTGAGCGGTCTATCATGCGCACCTCTGCGTCGTCGCGCGCCGCTTCCTGCGATACTGCCGCCATTCCGGAGCCGCGAGTGGCTTTTTTTAACGCAACCACCTTCGTTGCGGTGGATGTCAACGGCGTTGCCCAATGCGACGGATACAGCAACAACAAAGAAGAAGGAAGAGGAAGGTGGTGATAAGACGAAGCAAATTGATGGAGAAGACGAAGATGACGAGCCGTTCCTGACCAAGATTGTGGAGCCCACGTACCCCACTCCAAAGCCTCGCACGGACATCAACAAGGCGTACTTCCCAGGTAAAGTGTACCGCTCCACGTCGCGTGACGTGGTTTTTCGGGCTATGGCAGGCAATACGGCCATCACGACGCTCAAGGTTCTGGCGTGGCTTAAGACCGGCTCGAGTGCCATGCTCTCGGAGGCGATTCACTCCCTGGTGGATACTGGCAACCAAGCCATTCTCATCTTGGGCCTGAAACAAGCGTCAGGTGTGCCAGATAAGAAGCATCAGTATGGATACGGACGTGCTGCGTACTTTTGGTCGCTCATTTCAGCGCTGGGAATCTTCTGGTTAGGCTCCGGCGTGACTGTTTTCCATGGTATCCAGTCCATCTTGGAGCCTCCGGAAGAGCTCTTCTTGTCGTGGGAGGTCTGGTGTGTGCTCGCAGCTTCTTTCAGTATCGATGGCTGGGTGTTGAAGCGGTCAGTGCAGGAGTTACTGGCCACAAAGCCAAAGAACATGTCGTTTTACCAGCATGTAAAGCGTACGAAAGATCCGTTTATGATGGCTGTGTTGCTCGAGGACATGGCAGCCTGTACGGGTGTTCTCATGGCTGGGTGCGGCATCGGAGCCAGCCACATCACAGGCAATCCGCTGTGGGATAGCCTCGCAAGTATTTCTATCGGTGTGCTACTGGGCGGCGTCGCCGTGTCACTCATCCGACTGAACCAGAAGTTTTTATTGGGACAGTCAGTGGAGCCCGAGATTGAGAAGGGAATTCGTGAGTTGTTGCTGGCGCGTCCGTCTATTGACAATGTGTATGCCGTCCAGTCGCAGTGGGTTGGTCCGTCGACGTTCAGCTACAAAGTACGACCACGACAGTAATGTAGGCAGCTCCATTCTCTGCTATGATGCTGACACAGGTGGTTATTGAATGTTTCAGGCTGAGGTCGACTTTGACGGCACGTATCTGGCGGCGAAACTACTGCGAATGTACGCATCATGATGTGGCTGTCCTAGTCATTCCCTAGGCACTGATGATACTACGTTCTGCAATGAATGGACAGGTACAAGCCTGTCTTCTTAGAGACAAAAGATCTGGAGAACGATCTCCCACTCATCTTGGCCTGGTACGCTGAGGATGTAACCCGCCTGGTCGAGAAGGAAGTTCAGGAGGTTGAAGAGGTGATCCGAGGCATTTACCCTGAGGCTGCTTTCATCGAGCTGGAGCCTGATAGTAAGGAGTCGGAGATGCGTGCAGTATTAAGCATGCAGACAAAGTCTTCCCGCACGAGCGAGCGTGAAGCGATGACACGTGCGTTGGCTCTTCTTGCGCGGACATTAGAGCGCAAGACGACGGAGTCTGATCGCCCTGCAAGTAATTAAATCTCCCTATCGATAGTCAAAAACTTTTTTTGTAAGCGGAGCTTACACTGAAAGTGAGGCAGAGGCAGACATCAACTCGATAGATGAAGCCGTTAGAAAACAACACTGTCATTAGATTTAATCATATTCGGCTTTTAGGAATAAATTATGCAGATATACTGAACGAAAAGCGGGCTACATCAACGTACCCTGGGTCTTCTTATGACGAAGAGGTTTCTCGCGTATTCGAACATCTCGAGCACTTCCGTTCCGCTCCTTTTCGCCTTTCGACGAAGAGCTGTTTGCTGA